GGTTCTAAAAGCAATCTCTGTATAATCTACGATTACTTAACAATTTCGTACAAATTGGTTACATTTATCGTTTTCTTTGTTTCAAGACAATAATTGAATCATTACCATCAGTAACACTATAAAATCGTATTTATATGATATCGAAAGGAATTGAGGAAAGAACATAGGTAACTCAATGGCAAACAATCTAAGCGATCGTGAATGATGTCATGCAAAAATACACAAAACATTGTTGTGTGTCGTAGAGTTATCGAAGACTTTAATAGCGGTTCACGTCGCGCTAAACTAGGCAATTACATCATCGACCTTGCGGAAGCGATTCGCACGGACATCGAAAACATCAGCTGATACTTAAAACTAGCATAGATTTTAAAGTATTATAGACGAACGTCGATTCTATAAATAATACATACAACAAAGAGTTACTCTAGAAACTTCTGAAATAATGCTAGATCTAATAATGCCGGTATAATATTAATTTGTATATTATGAAATTAAAAAAAATAGTTCTACAAATGTTTTAGAAAAACCGCTTGTTTTCAACAAGACAAAACAATAATATTTGATCCAAAGTTAGGAAAAATACGAAAAATGTCGACTAGAACAAGTTAACTGTGTTTCAATTGACATAGGTTAGTAACAAACAACGATTGCCAAAATATCATAAACTAAACACTGATATACTATTGGGCAACACGTACATTATTTACCCATAGATTCTTTGCAGACAATAATCACATTGTCTTTATCTGTACTTTCAAACATACTAAAATATATTATATTCGAATTCATATCTTTGCTAATATTTATGCTCAAATAACTCCGTTATTACGACGCCTTCGCGAGGTTTACATTACCTAGTAAACTTAAGCAAGACTGACACTTGAACACTGTTGCATGTAACATAAGTCAAGTAGGTATAGATAATGCAAGTATAGTGTATATGTGTTGTGTATTTATTTTTAAATTTATGTATGTATATGATCTATTTCACTTTTAACATATATGCAACACATAGTTACTATGTAAAGAAAACGCCGATAAAAATTATATTGCAAAAGTGTGAAAATGTGGCAAGAAGCGACCCTTAGTAAAGATATATCGACCAGATTGGTCACATATTAGAGGGCGACGTTAGAGTACGCAAAGCCCTACCGTTTGTTTAGCGTGGAAAAGTGGGAAAAATATGCCAGGACTGCGCACCCTAGGTGTTGTTTCAATTTAACCGCTATGGATTTATAATATCGTGCAATGTAGAAATTGAAACAGGCGACGCCGGGCATAAATTCCTAGTATTTATCGGTATGTGATTTTTTAAACGGTTAACTATAAAGTAGTATTATCGATCTATCCGTGACATTTTTTAATAATGATATCATCAGCTGAAATTACACTAAATAAAAAGGATATGATGTGAATTGCGATTCGGTCATTACGGCCTTGAAATCTGACGTAATTCATAACAATGCTGATATAAAAGTGTAAAAATAAAACTGTAAATGTAAGTAGGAAGGGGGCGTATTAACAATTACACCTCCGCGGTAACTGTAGGTGCCAGGTGGAAGTCTAGACTAAACGCTCAGACCTACGTGTGAAGGTCGCGGTGTGCACGCCACTACCGGGCTAAATTCGGATTGTACTCAATGAGTTATGCATTTAGGACTGAGCAGTCAGTATGCTTATTTATAGGAGTTACGATACTGTTTACTGCTGAAAGGCTTGACACAGATTTAGTACCAATTTTGAAATGGACTAAAAGTTCGTACGTATCATAAACGGTCCGAAAAACTATTTTTATTAGTCCGATCCTGGTCTCGAATCCGTTATCTGGTTTAATCCGTTTCTTGACACCCTTTTTATTAATTATACATTGATTGAATTGTTTAGAATTAAAATTACAATACGCAAAAAGTCGCATTGCGTAGTAGATTGTATGTTTTATTAACATATCAAAGCTTATAGAAATATACATAATTTGTTTATCAAGGTTAAAAATCATAAAGGATATTTATTATTGATTGAACTATTCATTTAATACAGTTTTAGTTATAATTTAGTTTTCTGCAAAGCTGACAAAAGCAGTCGTTTCAATATAATGGATAATACCGAAAAGTTTATTGACAAACGTTTGGGTAAAGAAATTAGTTCCTTAGTTAAACTTACATTAGCGCCTACAAATGTAACGAACTAATTGGTTACGTCTTTTTATCGAATGTCCACATTACGAGTACTTATGTCATGGATATTAACGTGACAACACCTTAATTGACCTAGTTTTCGAACCATGTTTAATTATGGAACATTATTTGCTAAAATGAACCAAGGACACTACAGACTGACAACTTATCTTAGTTTTTAAATAAAAAATTATTTAAATAAATTACAATAGGCCATAATTCCCCAAGAGAGCTGACAAACGCTTTTCTTTACATCATCGCATATGTTAATAGTTTATGTCCTCTTGGACCAAGGTATATGATGTTATCACGAGCAAGTATGACGCACACAACTAATTACTAACACAAACTCTTAATGCATTCAACGTTTAGTCTTCATTACTTAGACTAACGTATAATTGTCGAGGTAAAAAAGCAGTTAACTTATCGCAATTTGTTAAAAAAAATATGACATAGAACATCACAGGTAACATCAGTCATCAACTGACTTAAGTTATTATACCAACTTTATATTTTAGACGCATAAAATGTGAGTCATGCCCAAGAATAATTCTTGACGGGTTAATATTCCATATGCAAATGTCATACTGCAACCCTTTATGGTAGTCAGGGTAAAGTGATAACTTCAGTCATTATATTAATCGTGTAGAATAAAAATACTTATTGCGATTCATTTTGATCAGATGCATTAAACCTGAAATTTTTATTTACTTGCCGTATTTGATTTTTCTGATGAAATTTGTTTAACGATCTTAAGAGATGTTCGTTGGATGGCGATATACATGAACAAATTCTGTTCATTAGAACAAAATTTATTTTTATCCCGCACTTATGATGCCGGGTCACGCACAAGCCAAAGGCGAATATGGAACAATAGCTTGTAAGTAATTCTGCGTCATGTATGATGTACAACTTCTAACTTATAAATTACATAGCTTGAAGATTAATCTTACTACTTACTAATATTATAAATGCGAAAGTTTAGATGGATGGATGGAACGGCTGAACGGATCTCGATGAACTGTGGCATAGATGTAAAGGCTAGTTTGGAAGAACACATAGGCCACTCCCTTTTGTTTGTTTTTTTTTTTAATTCCAAGCGGACGGAGTCGTGGGCGAAAGCTAGTTCTATATAACGACAAAATTTTTCTTAAGAAGCAATACATGCTGTACATAAGAAACGTTTAACGAAACAGTTGCAGACATTTTCGGTTTAGATAAACATTGACTAATTTCAGGTAAAACGGGTTTTTTTAAACAATGATAGCACAACCGAGTAGGTAGAACAACTAAGGAGTCATCCTTTGATAACCGAAATAGAAACAACACGACCATGAGAATAAGTCAAATAACAAATTGCTGCATGCAAAATAAGCTTTGCAAAATGACAAATTTGCCTTGTTTCAGGCAGTTTACATAAACAATTAAATTGTAATAAGATTTAATATATCACTAATTTAAGTTAATGAAACTGGAAAATATTACTTGTTTTAAATATAAATATATCATCTAAAATTATCAACCTACGGGAGATCTGAAAGTGAAAACGTGTGAAAAGTTTACAGTGCTAACGACCTTGCGAGTTTCTACGTCGCGAATAAACACATTTCGCAGAGGTTTTCCCATAGCTAAACTTAGGCTTTTCATTTCGTTCAGACGCACTTATCTACCATTTATTGAAATAGACAAGCACTGCGTCCGCGTGGAATAAAAAAAAAAACAAAAGTGAGTAGCCTGTGTGTTCTTCCAGACTGTCCTCTACATCCATGCCAAATTTCATCGAAATCCACTTAGAAGTTTAGGCTACAAACTCTAACAAGCATTCGTCTATCCATCCATCCATCTAAACGCATTGATAATGTTATATATATTACTATATTAGTATGATTGTTTCTATGTTGTATTATTTTCTTATAAGGTATAAGCGTTTTACGAAAACATCAATTTTAATATCTACGTTATTAAAGCAACATGAAGTATATATTATAATTAATAGTGCACAATATTGGCAATTTTCAATATTGAACTATGTGGAGTTTCCGATTTCTACCTAAATTATGGATGTTTGATTTACCGTTGTTTTGTGTCTGAGATATTGTCGAAAAAAGCTTGGATCAAAAGCGTCAATATTCGAAAGCTCCCAACGCTTCACTTTATTTGTAAATATATACAAGAATATTGATAGTTTTTGTTAATTAAACACGTATGTAATTCGATAACTTCAGTGAGGCAACAGTAATGAAGGTCGATGCAGTTACGCGTCACTGAATTTATTATCTTATCTTTAAATTGCATGAATTTATTCATCCAATGCTTAAGGTCTTTGATAAAAAATATCTAATCTATAGGAAATTGTATGTTCAAATTTGTTTTACTTGTAATAACAACTTTTGTATGTTTTGCGCTACAGATGGACAAGATGACATGTTTACGAACAAAACACTCTATGTACGTATGTTTGCTATAAAAATAGTAAGCAGGAGGTGTAGTGGCCGTGTGTATTCATAGGGTGCCCGCCATAACGAAAGGCGCCGAAAATATTTCACCCTCCTCGTAATATTCTCAACCTAAATTAAACCGGAAGTATTTATCGTTAAGCACATATTATTTATGAAACCAATACAATAGTAGAATAAATAAAATCAAACGCGAATTTTTGAAATAAACATTATGTTTGTTGTCCATTTCCATAAATTAAAATATCAATTTCTGTATTAAATTACTTATTATTAAACCAAACATGTTATCTGTCGTTGATAATAAACTAAAAATACGATATTGCAGATATAATTTGAAAAATATACTCACATTAATATACCGCGAAGCTGAGTTAAATCACATAGACTAGTCAACACACGACCGACTTCCGTCCCAGCCCTCCTATACTACGTATCTACGTACCACCGATGTTTGTCCGTCTGCC